CTTAAGAGGTTTCTAAAATTTGGTTTGCCTCAAAAGCAAGACCTAATTTAAGAATATTTATTTGGGGGCTGAAGAGATGGGTCAGTGGTTAAGAACACTTGCTGTTTTTCCAAAGGACCTAGGTTCAATTACCAGCATCCTCATGGCAGCTCCTAGGCACCTGTGACTTTAGTCCCCTCTTTTGGCCTCCTTGGGCACTGCTTGCATGTGTTGCATATGCACACAGGCAGGCAAAACACCCATATATATTAAATTAAAATAATGTTACAGAGCAGAGAGAGTGAGGAGGCTGTGTCTGGCTCCTGTTCTCACAGACATTGCAGTACATTGAGCTCCATAGAGACAGTGCCAGGGCAAAGTCGAGCCCAACAGGCACTGGGCAACTGTGTCTCGCAGATGAAAATCAATTAAACATAGGCAAAGGAGATCCTAAGAAGACAAGAGGCAAAATGTCCTCATATGCATTTTTTGTGCAAACTTGCTGGGAGGAACCCAAGAAGAAGCACCTGGATGCTTCTGTCAACTTCTCAGAGTTTTCCAAGGAGTGCTCAGAAAGGTGGAAGACCATGTCTGCTAAAGATAAGGGGAAATCTGAAGGCATGGCAAAGGCTGACAAGGCTCGTTATGAAAGAGAAATGAAAACCTACATCTCCCCCACAAAGAGGATACCAAAAAGAAGTTCAAGGGCCCCAATGCACCCAAGAGGCCTCCTTGTTCTGTTCCAAGTATCACCCAAAAATCAAAGGAGAATACCCAGGCTTGTCCATTAGTGATTTTGCAATGATTGTTGTGTGTGTGTGTGTGTGTGTGTGTGTGTGTGTGTGTGTGTGTGTGTGGTGTGAATGTGTGGTTGGTGATGTGTGTGTGTTGTATGAGTGTGTGTGTTGTATGAGTGTGTGGTATATGTGTGGGGTGTATGAGTATGTGTGTGTGGGTGTATGAGTGTGTGTGGTGTATGTGTGTTTTTGGTGTATGAATGTGTGTTATAAGAGTGTGTGGGGTGTATGAGTGTGTGTGTGTGGGGGGCTCTGAAGCTGAGGTTAACTTTTGGTGTCTCCCTCCATCATTAGCTTCTTTCATCTATTATTTTTTGTGTGTGGATAAGGTGGGGGTGGGGCACTTGTGTGGAGGTCAGAAAACTGCATTGTGGCCTTGGTTGCCTCCTTACATCTTTATGTGGTCTCCAAAAACTGAACAACTCAGGCCATCAGGTTTTGTAAGAGCTTTTCTTTTACTTGATATATATATATATATATATATATATATATATATAGAGAGAGAGAGAGAGAGAGAGAGAGAGAGAGAGAGAACCATTTGCCAGCCTCCTTTCTCCTATTTCTTGAGAAAGTCTCTCACTGAGTCTGGAGCTTACTAATTCTGCTAGACTGGATGACTGGCCAAGTTCCTAGGATCCCCTGTCTGTCAATCAGTGCTGGGTTTACTGGAGCTCACAGACCCAGCCAAGTTTTTAGGTGGGTGCTGGGGAACTGAACTAAGCTCTTCATGACTACACAGCAAGCAACTTACCCACTAAGCCATCTCTCATTCCCAGTTTACACTTGTTAAAAAGTATTTATTTATTATATATACAGTATTCTTTCTGCATGGATCTCTGCATGCCAGAAGAGGGCACCAGATCTCATTACAGATGGTTTTGAGTCACCTTGTGGTTGCTGGGAATTGAACTCAGGACCTCTGGAAGAGCAGTCAGTCAGTGCTCTTAACCTCTGAGCCATCTCTCCAGCCCTCTAGTTTACATTTTTAATTGAAATTTTTATCTGTAGGTCCACATGCAGCTGGAAAAAATAAAGAATCTTAATGACTCTCAAGTTTTCCTCGATGGTGACATCCATAACTCTACAATGTCACTAGAAGTTGCATCCAGCCAGTCTGCTGACCTTATCCAAATGTTTAAAGGTGTGCGTGTACATCCCCACAGTTGATGTGACCATCTCATTTGTGTACACTGTATTTTCAACTAAAGCACTCAAGACATCAAGCATTCTATTACCACCAGGATCTGTCATGTACCAACAATCGGGCAGCTGATGGCATGCCAGTAATATGGGGATTAAGGCTGGGCCTGGGGAATACACCTGCAGGAAGCAGCAGACAGAAAGCTGGAACCTAGGTGACTAGCCTGTAGAGCTAATAAGAGCTTTGAAACCTTGTGCCCTATGAAATGAGACATGGGAATAGCACACAGGTGCTTCTTACAGGAAGGCAGGACGGAGAAGTATGGCTCCTGCCTCAGAGCCCTGGCCCAGTCAGGTATCATCAGTTTATCAGTTTTCCTTTGCAAAGAAGTTTTTTTTTTTTTGTTTTTGTTTTTTTTTTTTTTTTTCTCAAATTCATTAAAACCTAGGCGACTGGGACTGGAACTGTGTGGCTCAACAGTTAAGAGAACTGACTCTTGTAGAGGACCTCGTTTCAATCCCCAGAACCCACACACCCAGCACCCACCCGGTGTCTCCGAACCATGTTTTAACTCCAGTTCCAAGAGATCCAACACTCTCTTCTAGACTCCGCAGGCACCAGAGATGTGTGCACATACGTGGTGCACACATACACATACAGGCAAAACACCTACACACAAAATAGTACGTTTAAAAACCAAGCAAAACCAAAAACCTGGATGAGTTGGGGAAACAACGCAGAGGTCCACACACAGCAAGCATGGCTACACGTCTCCATCCAAGCCCATCTGGATAGGGTTGTAAGCAAAATTCGCCTTTCCTGTCCTGAGTGTCTCTTCACATGGCCACCCTGCCTGTGGATCAGCTCCACTAGCTAGAACAAGACATCCTGGGCTTGGGCAGAGCAGCAAGCACAAGGCTGTCAGCCCCTGAACTGTCAGCGGTCCTGGCGGTTTTGGTTTTTTTCTGAGGGTCTCCCTAGGTAGCCCTGGCTATCCTCTATGTAGATCTGGCTGACCTCACTCAGAAATCTACCTGCCTTTGCCTCCCAAGTGGGATTAAAGGTGTGTATCACCACTCCCAGTCAGCCTCTTAAAGTGAGGCATAAGGGACCCGGCAGCACCCCTGCTCGGGACCTTTGAAAGAAAGTAGCGTTAACTGCCTACTTAAAGTGGTATTTTCAGATGGGAACACCAGCAGAATTCCACATCTATATGCAGGTGAACTAAAATTAAAGCTTAACTGGGGCTGGGGTAGATAAGCACATGCTGTGCACCCAACAGGACTTGAGGCCAGTTGCCTCGTGCCCATGTGAAAGACAGGCATGTCTTGTGAGGATAACATGGGGAGTGATGGAGGAACACACCCAACATCTTCCTCAGGCGTCCACGTGAAAGCATGGGCGAGTGCATACACATTAATTAAATAAAAGCTTAAGAAGTCAGTGGAGCCTGGACCCAGAACACAGTGGAACTGGGAAGTGGTGCATTCTTCCTCTACCTAACTGCGGAGACAATCTACTGGAGGACAATCTGAGAAACACAGCTCTTTAGGGCAGAGGTGCTTTGAGGCTGAGCAGCTGCTCTCAGAAGTGAGAGCACATGTATACAGTGCCTTACATGGAGAGAATCCCCCATATATGGCGACCCTTCCACTGAATCTTTTAAATGCTACCCAGAATCCCATTGGGGTCCAGATCCTAGTCATGTCAGGGCCTCTCAGATTTTTTTGGGTTCTAGATCTAAGAAGCACTCTCTGTAATGTCCCAGGATTTAGCAATCAGCAAGAACATAGTGGAACTTTGCTGAAAGTCACCAGTCTTGCCCTGCACCACCGCCATTAATCATCAGAGGCACAACCCCATCTTCATATTGCATGCCTACATGCGGTCTGACTTGCCAAGGTCTCAGATATCTGGGCTTCCGTTGCCTTCCAATGTCAACAAGTACTGACATCTGATAAGGTAAGTCAGAGGTGAGCTCAGTGGATGCTTTGGGGTCTGATCTGGTATCTGCACAATGATCAATGACACATTTTGGTCCTGTAGCAAGCAGACACATGAGGGGACTGCTTTACTGGGGACAAATAAGCACTGGGAAGATGGCCTGGTCTGAGGAAGCATAGGGCAGCTCAGGATGGTTGGGGCTGAGAGCACAGCTGGATAGGCAGGAGCACACTCCACAAGGCCTGAGCATGCTGACTCCCAAAGGCCACAAGGAGCTTGAGGTCATCTGTCAGCCAGGTCTGTGGGAAGTGTTGGCCAAGAATAAGGTACTGGTAACTTGTGAGGGATTCAGAAAGATTCAAGAATGACAAGGGAATAGAGCAGTTGTTAAGAATGAGGTAAATATCAAAACCACTGAATTTTTTTTTTTAAAATCAAACACTTTATTTCCACATAACAAGCGCAAAAAACTCCCAAACACTTTTAACAATACAATTAACGAAGTTATGAAGTCAGTTATATACTACTCAAAGCCCCAAAAGGTCACTCAGCTTAATGTTCCAAACATCTCCACACATGGTTTTTCAAAGCTACCTTTGGTTTTTGGAAAAACCAGTATGGACGTCAATACACACCGAATGCACTGAACATTTGCTTAGGTTACGGTGTCCGACATGAGCTTACAGCTGGCAAGCTGGAGCGTGATTTGAAGTCATACACTGGAATACAGACACAGTTCTGCCCTAGAGCTCCTGCAGTGAGGAGCGAGGGGCACGGCGGTGGCATCCCCACTGTGTGAGAGGTATGAGGTTAACACTAGGATGCTGTCAAGTCACTAAGCTTCATGTTCCGAATGGTCCCGCTGAGGCTTGAGATGGGCACAGATGGTGGGGGAGGTGAAGCCACAGAAGAGCTTTGAGCAACAAGATCCCAAAGATGCTCGGGGGAGGAGGGAGCAAGCTACAGCTTCCACTGTTCTCACATTATCTCAGGGTGCTTGTGGAGAAGTTCAGGTAAATGTTCAAACATTTGCTTACATTTTTAATCTGCTGCTCTATGAGAAGAATGCTCATGTGCAGCAACTTTGTAACTTTCATTATAAAAAAGAGCCTACAAATAAATTCACAAAAAAGAGACAATTAATGTTGAGCAGCCAAAAAAGTCATGGTTTATTATCTGAAGATTTCATAATTCAAACACAACCAAACTGTACATTTACAATCACATCCTATTTGTAAACAGTTAAAAGCCACTGACCTCTTTTGCATCTTAGGACACAAACAGTTAGAATCAAGGCAATGAAATGATGGCATATTCTGTACTGTTAAAAGTTTACCCTTGTTTAGTCTCTCTTCTTTGACTAAGCAAGCATTATAATACCATTTGTGGGCAAAAAAACAGGAGCTGGGGAGGAAAGAAATTTTAAAATGGTGTAACTCGTTAGTTTGCAACAACATTTAAAATTTTTTTTTTTATACAACAAACAACTCTGTAAGCCCAATGTCTTGGTTACAGTATGCATAGTTACTGATCTCGGCTTTAAGGTACAACAGTTAAACATGAACACGGTCACAAGAGAGCAGAGACATGAGAGCCACTGATGGGGTTACAAAAAGTCACCTAGCGATCGATTATCAGCAAACCATCATCACTCACTAATAAAGGACAGCATCTGAAAGCAGACGGCAACTCCAGCTCAAAGCGTTTTTTTTTTTTTTCTTCTTTTTTTCTTTTTTTTCTTTTTTTTGGCAGAGAAAATTCTTGAACAGAGCAATACGTAATATCAGTGCTAAAAGTTGGGGTTTTCTTTTTCCTATAAGAAACTACAAGATTTTTTTTGACGGGGAACTGGTTTCCTGAGAACCATGCTCTTTGATTTAGGACAGGGGTAGAAAACAGAAGAACATGGCCAAATGCTGCTCTTTTTCCCAGAGATAGAAAGCTTCTTTTAAACCACCCTCCTCTTTTTTTTTTGTCTTTTAAATTTTTTTTAAATGATGGAAGAGTAAACATTTTTTTTTTCTCAAAAAACAAACAAAAAATCTGTAAACAAGAAGGTTCACCGTGGGAACCTCCAAAACAACATGGAAAGCCTGTTCAAAGTGCAGGGCCCGTCCTGGGCAGCAGGCGGGCTGCAGGTCACAGCGGTGGCCACAGTTTCTCAAACTGTAGAGCGAAAATTCTTTAGTTTTACAACATGAAAAAACTGGTGCAATACTTTCATTAAGAATCCTACGTCAGTATCTTAACTTGATCTTTTAAACTCCACGATACCACAATAAGGTAGGCAACATGAGGCATAGTAGAGAGTGCTCGCCTTTAAGAACATCCTTGAGTAAACATTTACACTGGAACAGCTGCCCCCCCCATATTGCCGATTAGACGGAGAGAACATCACTCAGTGCAAAGGTAAAAGCTCATACATCAGCCCAAAAACTGGTTTTGCAAAAAAATACAAATAAAAATAAAAGGTGGGGATGGGGGATGGAAATGAAGGAAAGAAGGAATCCGAAGGCTAAACATGATGAATACACAAGTGAGCTCATTCCACACGGTTAGCTGTATGGCGCTATTTGGGAGTGTAAATAGATAGATACCCTTTCACATTATAATATTGGCCTGCATGATTCAAGTATTCAAACTGATATGTTCTGGGGAAAACAAAGTGGAAAATGTGCAGAAATAGCTGTTCCCACAGGTGGCCCTGCTGCAGGCGGCGAGCCCAACTTAGTGCTCCTTTCCTTCTCATCTTGAGGTCACAGTTTGCGTCTATACCTATGTGGTTACATGGACTCTCCACCCCCACCCAGGTGGTCAACAGAAAGAAAAGCATTAATAGGGGATGGGCTGCTAATTCCCCGGGGGTCGCTGCTGCTTGGGGGACCCCACAGGCTTGTGGAATAATGTGGGGTCCCCCAGAGGGAAGTGCCGTGAAGGTCTCCACAGTTAGTTCCCGACAGCCCAGCACCATTCCAGTGATTGAGATCGGTCCGGCTGGAGAATGAGTGGGAACAGTCAAGGGAGCCTAGCCGGCTCTGGCTGGTCCCAAGAGACTGCCAGCCAGGAGAAGGGGTCAGAGACTGACTTTGTGCAAAGAAGCGACTGATCTCCTCTTCACTGGCAAACTCAGCGAGAATAGTAGTGTTCCCCAGCACACACCTAGAGGAAGAGGGCACAACATGAGAAGGCCTTCTGGCTGCATGGCTTCCACAGCTCAATTAGCAGTGGGACCTGCTCTGAGAAGAAACCAAGGAGGTGCAGAAGGAACCTGGCCTACCCCATGCCCACAGTGAAGGTCCCAGAAAGAGTCATGGGGTGTCTAGACCACAGGGTCTTGTTGTATTTCTTGGACTGGCCTCCAGCTCCTGGGCTCAAGTGATCCCTCCATCTAAGTGTCTCCAGGGCCATGCTTCTACTCACAGCTCCCCTAGACCTCCCCAAAGGAGTCTTGGGCAACTTACATGTGCAGAGACTTTTGTGCCTTCACTACCTCTTCTTTTGAACTGTAACGGACCAGAGCATTTCCATGTTGGAGGTTCAGATGGAATGTAATCAGTGGGCCATGCTGCATGCACAGGGTGCGCAGAGTTGAGCCATCAATCTAGACAGAGAAGGCCGAGGTTAGGGACTCCATTGTAAGGGCCATCAGGGTACCTACTGGTCCTTCTCATGCCAAGTTCGGTATCCCTTTCTTACATCCACTGGGCCTCGAGCTATGTGACAAGCCACCACACACTGTGATTTCATGTCTTTTCTTCCCCTGCTCCAGAACAGGACCTGAAGGCACTGCTCCATAGGGAGTGGGAAGTCTGCCCGAGAGCCAAGAAAATGCTCAGATATAAAAGGGCAGGCCAAGGTTTTTGGAGGTGCAGCACAATCCCACAAACATGCCTGCAAAACCCAGGCCAGCACTACTCAGTCAGCATTTTGTGAGATGGAGGCATCTACATTTTTGTGGCTCCCCTAAATATAACATCATGAGAACCATGGGATCAACCCCAAAGCACTGAGTATCATCCTCTGCCCAGCCTTGATGACCACTGACAGGCCCTGTCTTGGAACAACAAAGTGTTCCATGCTCCCTTGCTCACCATGTACATGAAGGAGGCACCACCTTACCTGAGGTGTGAGGTTTTTCAAAACAAGCCAATTCGTTATTCTCCCTGAGCTGCTCTCTCCCCAGCTGGAACCTAAACAAAGAAAAAGGACAGTCCAAATTCTATCATTGTGACTTGAATGACTGTTTAGGACAAAGACGGTCCAATCAAATGACAGTTAATTCCTGTTTAGGACAAAGACAGTCCAATCAAATGACAGTTAATTCCAGTCATGAGGAATCAGGACTCCCATCCCCTTTGCCTACTTTCCCCTAGTCTAACAAATAGGTGTGTGTGGGACATCAGCTCACTCCAGTCTGGACCAGGCACTGACCCCTACTGCAGGTGGCTCTGTTTGGGACACAGATAAACCATAATGTTCCACTTCTCTGGCATCTTTTCTTCCAAATGTTGCCCCTAGGGGCAGGCCTCAGGGAACTCCCTGCACGTACCCTAAGATGTGAAGTTTTAGGGGGACTGAACCCTTTAGCATCAACCAGACATCCTTTGATTCTGTCTGGGGTACCATGTGAGTCCCCACCTAGCCTTCCTGGTGGCCCCATGGCAATCAATTTCCTTCTAGCAAAGGAACTTTTGAACACAATCAAGAACACCTGTCCCCCATGATTATTTACAGGTATTTCACAACTATGTCACTGTAGTTTTCCTGGGATATCTGACCCACGTCTGCTTGAGCTTAAGGATCAATGGCATCCCTTCCGCTCTCAAACGTTTGCTTAAACAGTAAACTTCACGGCCAGTCATTCTTGGAATAGGCCAAGCCATGATGACCCAAATAAGCCCACTCTCCAAGGCTCAGCTGGGCTGTCCTCCACACATTGCCTCCAGCCTCATGTTCTACATGCAGCCTTGCTCTGCAAGCCTGCCACAGTAGGAAACCAGCAGACTCTTAAGATGCCTTTCCAAGGAACTTCTGAAAAGAGACCACTCCACTAACATTACTACTGACGGAAGTATCCTTGGATAAGCCTTATTTATTTAGACAGGGTCTCATATACAGATGATACCAACTTCTTCATACTTAATGTTCCTGTCCTCACTTCCCTGGGGCTAAGATTTCTGACATGCACCACCATACAAGTTTGGGTAAACATTCTTAAGGAAACCAGTCAAGACTCCTAACCAGGAATCCTGTTCAAGCTCATTCTACCTTTCCAGGTAACAGTGTTGGCCATGCTAACCTGGTCAGAACTCAGCAAACAGCTCATAATAAAGCACCATAGATACTGTGTCCTACCTGGGGTATATCTGGCATCAGAATTTCCCCATCCTCCACCTACACGAAGGGGAGAATTATCCCACGTAGACAAGGGTGGCTTCTGACCAGTCAGCCCTGGAGGTGGGCGGGACGGAGCAGTGATGTTTTTAGGTGGCAAAGGGACTTTCCACAGCTCATGAGCCAGAGAGGTGTTTGTAACTGAACCAGGAGACCACGTCAATTTGGAATCACTATTTCTGGCTATTCAGGGAAGAAAGGGGGAAAAAATAAGAAAAACTGAAGAAGGTAGGATAATGTTAGAAAGAGAAAATTTACACAATAATAGCCACTGTCCCAGAAAAGTGAGTCAAACAAATGGAAACTATCAAAAACCCTAAATGCAACTAAAGGCCTAAAGGAAAAAAACAAAAAGCCCAAAGGCATAGATTTCTCCCTCAGGACCTATGCCCTCATCTGTTACTGTCTTGAGACTGTGCAAGCACAGAACTACTCTCTGAGATCATAACATAGACTAGAAAAGTCCACATCTGTGAGCTCCTAGACCAACAGGTCTACTCAAGAGAGATACAAGGCAGAAGATACATTTTAAGCTCATCATTTACTCATAAGAGAAAAGCTATAGCAGTTACACCAATTCAGGAAGGTGGTATGGCAAATACTCAGTGGCTGCTTGCAGGGTGCTAGGCTCTTAGTGTCCTATCCTGACAACATAGCCAACATCAGAAAGGTAAACCATTTACACAGCTAGGATGCAAATGTAGGCCCTTTCTAGCTTAAAACAGAATGAGGAGGGGCGATTGATTCTTGCCCCACTCTTATTGGCTCAGAGCAGTGATGGGACAGAGAGATAATTATGCCAAACACAACACTAAAAGACAGGAATGGGAAAAACTTCAACAACTGTTGAGAATTCAGACCTGAGTTATTACAAAGTGCATGGCCATTAGGCCAAGGCTCCTCTAAGTATGGTGACAGGAAGCATGGCCACAGCACAGTTTACTTGAGCAGTAGCAGATGCATCTGAAAACCCAGAGCCACAGCTATTTAGCTCAATGCAGAGCCTAATTCTCCAGGGCACAGGCATTCTGGCAGTGCCTATAAATTCCTGCTTCCTGCATTTTGCACAACTGTCAGCCTGTGAAGGACTGAAAATGAAATAAATGAATGCAGATGGCTTTCAGTAGTACTTTACCACAAGGCTGAGGTGACTCAGATGGTAGAGCTGTGGGGTAGACACAGACTGTTTTACTTGACTGCTGAATGCATACTTAAAAGGGGAGAAATGACAGTTGTAACACACTCCCCTAGGATCACAAACACTCCCTAACTACCCGAGAGGACAACAGAAGACAAGCAACAATCTGGCTGTTCCTGATAGAACCCACCTGAAGTGCTTTGTGCTGTACTGCTGAGGGGAACATTGTAGTTGGAGGCACGAATGGATGACCAGGCACTAGTTGAAGGCAGCGTGGTGTTCAAGGATGAGGATGACCCTACAGAAAAGAGTCCAATTAGCTACCAGAGCAGAGTATGGTGTCTGGGAAGTGGCAGGGTCACAGCACATCCCAAGACAGGATTTAAGAAGATAGGGCCCAAGGCAGAAGCTTCCTTCCTGCTGATTGTTTCAGTCCTGGCTCAAAGTAGGCATTTCCTTCTTGTTTCCTAAGAACAGAGCAGTGGCTAGGAGACCCAGGCTCTCCTCCAGCACTGGAACTGTGAAGAGGCTGTTCTTGTTGCTCCTAGGCCCTGACTCTGAAGGGCAATGACTTTCTACTGGAAAGACAGGCCACCAGCCTGCTCCACATCTGGGCTCTGTAGTCTTTCTTCCCCATGTTCAACATAGCCTCTTCCTCTAGTTTAGCTCTTGATCTGACCATCACCTGGTCACTAGGACAGTCCCCTGACCAACCTCCCACAGAGTCCCTGCCACACCCCATTTAGATACACAGACCCTATACTTTTAGTGGTGGCTCTTCCTTTAATACCAAATTTAGTCTTTCCTCTCCACTTTTGGAACACTCTACTCACAAAGAAACAGTTTCTATAAGTAACCAATTCTTTTGTAACTCCCTCTAAACCCAGCCTTGTGTTTCACTATCTTCTGCTGAACTGGCTCTTGCTACCTCTACACAGCTGTTTGGTAGAGTCTGCCATTTCAGAATGATAGGATTCTTCACTTAGCACTATGATGTGGCAAATACTTACTACCTTTATAAACTACATATCAGAATAAACTGTTGGCTCTTTTGTTTTCTTTGTAAATTACTAAAAGGGATAGAAATGATTTTAGTGCTTCATTAACTCATTTCATTATTTTTCCTTCTAGTGCAAAAATAATGGACAAAATATTCATATATACCTAACGTGAAAAACAGCCCTGTGATAGTTACAGGGTAATTTCACCTGACAACCATTTAGAAAATACATGAGTTCCACTGTTTGAAGCCTTGAAAGCTCAGGCTGTTTCTCCTGCGGAAAGCATGTCAACATTGTTAAGTATAAATTAACTGTGTGCCTGGCAGTTGCTGACAGCATTATCAGAAAGTAAATGTTTGCATGTCCTTGGTGCTCACTTACTCAAGCCACAAATCCTCATTATTTTAAAAGTGGCCACAGTTAATTCCCATAGATGTGAGGAATGGAAGGAATCCTGCGTAAGGTCTCACCAGCCACCCTGAGATGTTCTTATCCTAAGCTGTTGCACAACATTCTCACACCAACTCATGCAGGTACGTACCACTGTTCCTGTCCCTGAGGTGATCAACTTCCCGCACAGTATTAATTGAAAGACTGTTTATGACACTGCCAGGAGTGACGTAAGGGTCAGTTTCAGGGTCAATGTTTGGATAACCTTTCCATGGTTCACCAGGGCGAAATTCTGAAAACAGACATTCAAAAGTAATGCATGGCTTTAAAATCCAAACTAAATATCCAAACATGCATTCCTAAATCCTGTGTGACAACACCTTCTAAAAGGGCAGGATGCTAATAGGAATATACACCCCTATATAAACTTGTGTTTTTATATAACTGAAACCATTTCTCTAAGTTTCTATCTTTACAGCAACTCAGGTAGGCCAGAGATGCACTTCCAGTGAGCCTCAGTGCCAAGTGAATCCTTGGACACAGCCAGAGAGCAACCACTGACTACGAAGGAGTTCGTATGACTCCCACACAGGTCAGTGAACTTATCCCATGATCACTACTTGGAGCAGAGGAAGTGGAGCATACAGACCATGACCCAACTTCATGCTTGCCTTTTCACTGCACCACATCTACTTCTGATTACAGGACCAAGTTAAACTCTGGTGAGGCCAGACATCACAGACAGATTATGAGCTCCTTACCTGGTGGCCAGTTAACACTGCTAGAGCCGTTAGGCGATTTGGCACGTGGCCAGCCATCTCCTATTGAACCTGGAGGACTGGCTGGTGAAGTACTGCTATTCATAAAGTCATAGGGAACAAATGGAGTTTCTTCCAGCCTAAAACCACTTGAAATAGCACCTACAATGAAAAATATGATAGTGAAATGTAAGCAAGCTACATTATCACAGTCACTTCTTACTGTCTCAAATAAAGTAAAGCTTTTCATTAGGGATGTAGGTGCCAAACTGCCCCGTTTATTATGTGAAGATGCAAGACAAAAGGAGCACTCTGTGCTCTATGACAAACAGCATGCCAGGATTTTGACACAGCACAAGAGTGTGTGGAAAAAACCTCAGTGGCTCCAGGATTTTTCCTGTTGTTTCCTTTTTCTGTGCTCCTCTGCTTACGACTTCATTCTAATGAAGACAAAAATCTTTCTCCGGAGTGCTAGATCTTTTTTTTTTTTTAAAGATTTATTTATTTATTTGTTTATTTAGTATGCAATGTTCTGTCTGCATGGCAGAAGAGGGCACCATACCTCATTACATGGTTGTAAGCCACCATGTGGTTGCTGGGAATTGAACTCAGGACCTCTGGAAAAGCAGCCAGTGCTCTGACCCATCTCTCCAGCCCCTCTACTAATTTTTTTTTCCAAGTTTTTATTTTTATTTGTGTGAAAATCTGTGTATGTATGTGTTCATGGAGGCCAGAACAGAGTGTCTGATTTCCTTGGGCTGGAGTTAAAGTTAACTGTGAATTTTCCAACCTGATGCTGGAAACTAAACTGAGGTCCTCTTCACCAAATGGAAAACTGATCTTGACCACTGTACTGTCTCTCCAGCCCCACCCCATTATGGCCTAAAAGTTTTCCTCCATATCTACTACCCTGCCTTCTGCCTCCTCTCTGGCTTGAGCCAGGCTTTATCAGGCTGTTCTCTTCAGCTGCCCTTCCTGCAGCCGAGTAGTAGTTATCAGTTTAAGATTTGATGTTTGACTCTTCATATGGCCTCTTCAGACTCAGCACACCCAGGCATTCCTGTGGAGCACTGTCTCAGACTTCTAAAATAGCTCCACGTGCCACCAATGCCTATTATACTGTACTGATGGTGTCCAAGTGTTTACTTCAACTAACAATGACCTTCTCTAGGGCAAGTGTGTGCAGAGACATCTATAATACACAGGTTCAATTGTGTGTCCACCAGTACTTATTCATCTGTGTATTCTAGGTGATGAGAAAAGTCCCAGGAAGGCACAAGAAATTCCATTAACTTTTGGAAACAAATGGGCAATAATCCTAAGATAAATCTGATTATTTCTAAAAGAACTTCAAGTAGCTGCTAAAAAAATAATTACTAAACCTAAAATTTTTATATTGCAAGAAGGTATATGTATATACATCAATATATACCTATAAAAACTTTGAGTTCAAAGTCATCCTGGACTACAAAAAGTAAGATTCAACAGAAAATTGCAGTATTGGCATTTAATGCCACACTATGAACAAACCAAGTTAAACTCGGTGAATATTCAAAAATAGACTATAAGGACAATACAATCACTTGGAGGGGGATATCTCCTGAATGATCATCAAAAAGGGAATCAATGCTAGATGTGGTAGTGTACTCCTTTAACCCCAGCACTTGGCAAGCGGAGGTAGGTAAATCTCTATGCATTCCAGGTCAGTTGGTCTACATAGCAAGACCCTATCTTTGAAAGCGGGAAGGGGGATGAGTGGAAAGAGAAGGCTTGAGAATATTATTCTGGAAATAGATAGAGAAACAAATAGACTCCTAATGACATTTTGCTATACTCATAGGTCAGTATACCGCTCAGTTCTCATTACAGAAGCTTCTTGCAGTAGCTGGCGATTAACACAAAGACCCATAACTGGTCAATATGCAGAGATTACTACACACCTGAATGTCCAGCTAGTCCTACATGGATGTCTATATCATATCCTGCCCCAAGGCTCAGGGATCTATGCAGAAGAAAGCGCAGAAAGATTGTAAGAGCCAGAAGCAGTAGATAATGTCAAGGAAATGATATTTTCATGACACAACAGGGCAGAGGCAAATATAAATTCAGAGACTGTGAGAGTGAGCATGCACAAGACCTGTGCACATTCAAGTCAGATAAAATCCCAGCATCAAAGGAAGGGACAAGGACACAAAGTCTCATGCCTAGCCAAGGAACAACTGGCACTGACTGCTTCTGGGAGAAGGGTGAGTCAGTTTTCTTCAATGGAGTGACATGACATCAACCACTCCAGGGCAGGTCCCAGGAATACTCTGTCAACACAAACTGGCCTCTAGTTTGGTTGTTGTTTGTACACACACACACACACACACACACACACACACACACACACACACACACACACACACACACACACACACCACTAGGGGTGGGAGGAGGAGGAGAATGAACGTAAAGTTGGGTGGGTAGAGAGATAGGGGAAGATCTGGGAGGAGTTGGATAGCTATCATAAAAATACATTACAGGAAATTCTCATAGAATAGACAAAAACATTGAAGAGAAACTGGGATGTTTAAAAAATATGCATCTGTGTCATGCATCTTCAGATTGCTCTTCTGTGTCGTCTGTAGCACAGCACAATTGAAGTAAATTTGCATTCTACTTCAAAGTCTCTTAAATAAGAAGATAAAGCTCCACTTTTGTGGCTATGGTTGGTTGTATGTTTTTTTTTCAGACAAGAGCTCATATGCAGAGGAGGCTGGTCACTATAAGTTCATTACACAGCTGAGTGCCCTTGAACTGAGCGTTCCATCTTCACCTCAAGTTCAGAGATTGCATGTGTGTGTCACAATGCCTGGCTATTTTTACAAAAAAAAATTTAAGAGTAAAAGATTTGTTTTGGTTCACCGGAAGCATATTTTTGCAATGGTCTAAGATTAACTTGGCTTTCAAATATATACACAAAAGATGACAAAGGGCAAAATTCAGTGTTACTCAGGTTGTTTACTTCGTTCATTTTATGTGTATGTGTCTCTCTGTGTGTATACAATCATGTTTATGTAGAATGTATATGAAGGTCAGAGGACAAGTTGGAGGAGTAGGTAGGCTCTCTTCTTATCATGTGGTCTTAGATCTGAACTTTGGCTGTCCAACTTGGTGGTAAACACACTCAACCAATAAGCAAACTTACCTCCATACCCACCCCACATTTTTTTTTTCAAGAGAAACCAAAGAGTATAATTGATACCATGTTTGCTGGAGTTTTGATCCAAAGATGTGTTCACAGAAATGCTGTCCACTGTAGTCCACTTCCTTAGTCTTGACTGTGGCTCTTTAATACTGTTCATGTCCATATTTACATTCAAGTTTGAGTTCAAGCCTTGAAAATAAAATTTAAATCTTATAAAACAGGACATTTTCCTTCTATTAGCAAATTTCTACTTTCCAAAAATCATATGCAGCTACTGTTTTCAATGCTACCTAATGTCCCTCAACAAAGGCAAATATGTAGTCAGATCATAGGTGCCCTACTTGGTAGGTACTCTAATGCTTCACAGTAGTATGTTTTCAAACCAGAAGGGCTAGTGCTGTTACAGGTGGAAAACAAACTTAGTCATTTAAAAACCCCAGACAATAGGAGAAAAAGTTTTAAGGGGACCATATAAAATTTGTGATTCTACCCCAAGTTTAGCCATTTTCCCAGAGTGCCAGGTGTAATGTATGATTACTCTCAATTGCCATTTCTTGATTTCAAGTTGATTAAAATATGTTATATAAAAGTAACAGCTGAGTAGCCAAAAGATGTTATTTAAAAGTAACAGCTCCTAACTCCAACAATTACACCTTAGAGAAAGACTCCCATATCTGAAGGCACATTTATTTGAGTCTTACTGACCAAGCATGTCATCAGATATTCTCTTGAACTAAGAACAGATGATTCTGTTTTATATACTGCTGTTAGAAAATGATAACAAGACAGTCCTTTTAAAGCACGATCCAGGCACTATCAGCACTAGAATGACTTCAAATATTTGTCATGAAACGAAAGTCTGAACATTCTGGTATTTAAATCATTCTTAGTTCCATTTTTGCAGAAAACAAACAAATTTTTGCTCTCAGACCTATCAATGAGACCAAGAATTTGTAATATTCTGTATAAAGTTTCAAAAGGTAGCTTGGAGAATATACGGGCTATAACATAGCCTTCCCTATGTCACTATGCAATAGAAGCCACAGACAATATGTTAAAGAAATAACATAGTTCTGTTCTGATAAATCTTTGTGAAACTGGACAGTGGGCCAAATTTTGCTCACAGGCTATCATGTAGTATCTACATAGATGAAACAGAATGGAAAGGCCATCTGGGGAGGGCACCCTGCATTGCAACTTGCTTTCCACAACTCCCTATTTGCCAAGTGCAATCACTTCCCTTCATCATCAGTGCCTTCTGGAGTATTTAGCCACATTGATAACTGACATGGAAATTCTTTCTGCTAACAATCCCAAGGACTTGTGCCCTAGCATAGAGTCTATATGTAATATTAGAAGAAAAAAAATAGAAACCTCCCAATCAGAGACAATTACCAGCAGGACCAACACATATTCCAATCACTCTCTATAGCTCAGAATATGCTAGGAGAACTAAGGTCTTCAACAGAGCTGAGGTAACAACCACATGGCTCATTTACATGAAACTATTGTTCAACTGGGGGAAGAGATTTAAAAAAAAAAAAAAAAAAAGAATGAGGTATGCTTAACTAAGAATCAAAACATAATCAGGAACCTGGGAAAGAGAAAACATAGAAGCCTTGAATTTCCTTGGTGAGTTTAAAGAGCCTAAAGAGTTTAAAGGAGGAAAATAAGACACAATTCTTCCTCATATCCATTTTCTTAACCCAAGTGCAAACCTAATGAGGCCCAGTCCCAGTATTTTCCACAAGTAGCACCTGCTTACTACCTACTCTTCCCAATAACACCATCATCAGCCTTTCTGCCCCTGCACATCCTACAGAGGGAATCTGAAAACAAGTGTGTCCTTTATCTATGCCTCTCTCAACAGGTGTACAGCTTTCTGAAATATTGTGGTTTTTGAGAGCAGACAGACACCATTCCTGAAGCATGAAGATGGGCACAGGAGAAAGCAGTCACTCTGCAATAAGTAGCATCGTAAAGCCAGCACTGTGCTGAAGAACAGAGCTGCAAAGGCAGTGGAGGTGCATGTGTGTAGAGGCCAAGCAGGTACTCACCTATAGGAAAGTTGCTGAAAGCATTTACTGGCGATGGCCCTTTCTGCAGCTCGGGTGTAGTGTGGGGCATGACATTATCAAGGAAGGACTTCATGGCTGGCTGATGAAGCGGCTGCTGAGAAGGCGGAGTCTGCTGCTTCACCAGCAGGCTTGGATCAAGTTGACGAGACTGTTGCATCATCTGCTGCTGTACACTAAGAGGTCGACCCTTCAAAGAAAATGATGGAGGAAGATTGTGAGGGTATGTCTTTACATGTACACACTCTTCATTTCTGAACTCACCCCCTTCTCAGAAGGAAGGACACCAAACAAAGTTCTATAGTTACTATGACTTCTGGACAAACAGCAGACTAAAAAGCATACTTCATTTGATTTTATGTTTTTGGTTGTGAGCCTAGCCTTTAACGGCTGAGCCATCTCTCCAGCCCATACTTCATTCAATTTTAATGAAAATCTTTCATTAACCAATTTTTTACCTGTGGGTGTTTTTTTTTTTTTTTTTTTTTTTTTTTTTTTTACCTGCTGATCTTGCTGCTGTCTGTTAGCAGAAGGCACACTTCTCTGACTCTGCTGCACCCTCTGCTGCTGAGCTAACAATCGCTGAAAGAATATGGAAAAAGGTTGTCACTGTTTAGCTGTTACAGATTAGAATGCTTAAGAATGACTATGGTCAGTGGACCTATAGAACTATACTACATACCCAAGTCCTGCCTCATGCAGTAAAACCTCTTCCTTGGAATGTTGATCTAGTTACCAAAAATTCTGCAAAAACCTGTCTTTAGTTCAATCTAACTTTTGCAATGCTGTGAATAAAACATGACTTTACATATGTTAAACTCTACCAATGAAACACCCCTGCAACCCCCAGATTTCACTTTAACAGCACCCCCCCAATCATGCTTCCCTTCCAATATTCCTTTCCTGGATCTCCCCTGAAAACATCTTAAACTACATGTAGGCTCACTCTTCATCTTTCCTGACAGGCTATGCAATACCTCTGTTTACTGCAGTGTCTGATGTAGAACCCCTACTGTATACCAAGCAGATAATAAATACTTACCTGTAACTGGGAGATCTGAGAAAGCTGGTTTAGTTGGGATAGCTGGTTCAGCATGGCTACCTGTTGAGGGCCAAAGAGCGGGTTCAGGCCACCGTTGTTTGGTGCATACTTCAGCAATGAAACTGGAACCTTAAGATCACAATGGTAAGTTAATAATGTTGCTGTAATATCCCAGACTAGCTAAGCATACTATGCAATTTAATTATCAATTGGGAAGTAAAAAGCAGTGGGCTGTTCCATGAGATGTCACAGCCACTCAAAGTGTGTATTCCTTACTAAGAAACAGTTCACATACACTCCTTCTTAGAGTAGGTCAAAACGACAAAGATAAATCCTAATCATCCTATTTGCCTTTGTTGCTGCTCTCCTAAAGATGTTTTACAGGAAAAAAAAAAGTACATTTTAGATTTAAATAACCATTCTTTATCCTTCTCTTATACTTTTGCAATAATAGCTAATCAGCCTTTGCAGTATCTCAAGATGTCAATAATTATTATGATGCCTACTAGTCATCTCAAACATAAATATTTAATTTATTTGTATAAATGTTTTGCCTGCGTGTTTTTGGTAAACCATATGTATGCCTGATTCCCAAAGAGGCCAGAAGAGGGCATCAGATTCCCCAGGAATAGAGTTACAGAGAGTTGGGAGCTGCCATGTAGGTGAGAATCAAACTGGGTCTTCTGGAGGAGCAGCCATCTATTGCTCCAGGTCCCCCCAAAAAACCTATTCAAGGTTTTTCCCCAGGAAAGTGGAGAGAAGCAGGAGCTTGTTTACCTGAGGGGAGAGTAATGGAGGAGGCACTTGAGCACGGAGATTAGGCTGAGATGAACTGAGAGGTTGTGCTGGAGGCTGCTGCATGCCCCGGGGTTGTGCTGCTGTGTTTCCAACACCAAACATACTAGGATTGCCATTCTAGAAAACAACCAACAAAATAAAAGTGATTCTTCAGGGAAAGACACTCATTGCCATATGATACTACTGTTTAAACACAGTAACTACAACAAGAGAGACATTACTACTAAGACAGTTCATTCAAGAGAAAGCCTACAATGCACATCTGGACTTACCTGTCTAACAGAATTCAAGTTTTGCGTACCCAGCCCTGCTATGGAGCCAAGGGCCTGGTTAGGTAGTGCACTATTTGAAGGGGGAAGCTTCATGCTTTGACTGGACATAAACTGCATGTTTTGGGATTCATCTGCTACAATGCCATCCTGATTGGACAGACAGAAAGATGTGTAACACCAGCCAAGCAAACAAGTAGAAGGGAGAAATCATTGCAGGAACAGAGGAGAAGTCACATGACATTCCAGCACCAACAGGAAACAGGTAGAAAACAGAAGAGATCAGATTAGTGTTAATTCTAGAGCACATAAAAAGAGCCAAACACATATTTCAGGGACTAAGGAAAATATACACATAACCTCTATCCTAAACTGAGATATAAATGAAACAATAAACTAAAAACCCATTAATAGGAGAGGCACTTGATTATATTTTTTATGTTACAGACAATTTTTCCTAAATACTATGCTATTAAGGGTACGGCTGATTAGTCTCAGAGATTAAAAAACAAAGAAAGATTGTACCTTATCAAAGTAAGGATTGCGCTCCATGGAAGACTCTTTGGAAATCTGAGGCCGAGAACCAGGACCTTTCCCGACCGTGCGATTGTAATCACCAATATTTAGGCTATGTTTATCTATCTCCATTCGCTTGTCTTGTAACATTCCTAATAAATGCAAGAAACTATTATTAGTAGGAAGAGAACAATTTATTTCATTGAGAAAAATTTACATAGAAAGCAAAATGCCCACTTTCCAAAATGAAACAATTCCTGATTCAACAAACACATGTAAAAACTACATTTCTATTGCATAAATTCTGCACCTCACATGTAACATTTTAAACAGACAGTACTATCTTAGGAACCAATTAACTTGAAAAGGGGCTGGTAAGCAGGAGGAAGCTAACAATCTCATCTTAAAGACTTCTTAAGCAACCTAAGACATCTTACATCATCTCTAATCTACTTAACACTTACTTTCATTCAAGACCTTGGACTCTGTCTTGCTATCAAACCTCTATTACAGCACTGTTAGTAATGGCCAGCTACTGGCATGCCCTTTCATTGTTCCAAATTCACTTTTTTTGATTGTTCTATGAAAGCATATCTAGATCTATTTATCCATTTCTTTTGACAGTCAGCACTGGGGCTTTGCCAGAAGATGTTCCTAGGTCAGTGAGGAGTGAAAAGTGTGGCTTAAAGGGGTCCATCGTTGGTCGGCAAAACTCCCTGGTCAGCTCCTCATATACCTTTAAACAGCACTGTAACAGTATTTGGTGAGCTACCTGTGTATTTGTAGCATTACTCAGCAAGTTCCACAACTATGACATCATAACTTTCCTGCCTTTCAGCAAGCCATGGTGGTGGCAGATTTGCCTTCATGGGGATAGACACAGCTTCTGCATATGAGTTGTTCTTGTCTACAAAGCTTCTTTCTGCTATCAAGTCTCAGAGAATACCTTCTTCACTGTTGTGGAATACCTCACTGAACTGTGCCATGCCATCAGTTCCTTCAGAGCAAAAGAGGTGTGGTGACAGGCTCAGGATACAGAATTATCTGTTATTGCCACACAGGATATCACCTGAAAGTTATCAGCCAACTGGGTAGAAAAGCTTATTGAAGATTTCAGCAATAATGCCAGTTGGGAGACAAGATCCCAAATATAAATTCTGTTCTCCAGGACATGGCCTATGGGGCTCAACACACAGGACAGCACAGGTCTGAGGTAGTGGCTCTCAGTGGTGCTTTCAGGCCACCTCCAGAACTCCTGGTTCTGCTCCAGTAACTCTGCTGTTTAGACCTTGGTCCTGGGCAAGGCTTCCAAAAAGACAAATCTGGTTCCAATGATATGCACAATGAAGCCAGCCACCTGAAGAGTCTGTGCCCCCAATGATGTAAGCAAACAGGCAGGCACATAACCAGTTTTTGGGCTGGAGGAAACAGCTTTGCATATGGAGTGGGAAATGGTGTTCTGACAATGAGTGAAGGCAGTTTCTATATTCAGGAACCCAGGAAATTCTCTTGCTACTTCTCTGCTTAATAAAGGGCCATGAAAACTTACAATAGTAAAAACAGGCATTATTTCTGAGGATGAAAATCTCTGGGATATAGGTTTGAATGAGCCCACTAGTTAACCCAGGATAGCTGTGGTTCAGTTAAAGGGTAGGAAAAGAGTAAGAAATGCAAGAAGGAACCACCAATGCAAACGATGAGCTGTGACCAACTAGAGAAAAAAACGAGGCACAGGCTTGGCAGCCCCAGCTTGAAAACCCGAAACTTTCTGTGTACTTAGAGTATAGGTTTTGGGTTATAGATGTTCAACTGGTGGTCTGTACAAATATTCTCAAATCCAAAATTTCAATATTTGAAATGCTTCTTGTCCCACCTGAAACCACCTGCAGTGTGTCTCATGTTTACAATTGGTTGTTCAAAGTGTGTTCATTTGTATGGGCCAATCATTTCCTTTCTCTTTCCCATTCTGCTTTATTCAAAAGTTATTGATAGTTAACTCTAATTTAGTCTTTAGACAAGAACCTGGCTTGAGGGTCATTTCTTCAGTGACACAATGGCTCTTGCAGATAGTACACCCTGTCTTCCTCACAAGCTGTTGGGCAATGAGTCTGAGATGAGAATGGAGTCGTTTTACCACTATGCTCAAGTTCAAGGGTCAAAGGGTTGGGGTGAATGGTACTGTTTCATTTACTGCCTCTCAGTATCCACCCCCTACAGCCAACATTTTGGGCTGGCTCTCTCTATAAGGCAAGGGGGGTGGGAGAGACGATGCATTTTTGTCCTTTATATTATTGTTCTCTTTGCTAGCTGGCACCAAAGCTACATTGAGTAAATAGTGCAGGAGAAACACTGCAAGAAGAAATGGCTGGCCCCCAGTTCTGGTATGCTGTCACTTTCTTCTGTAGCCCAGGATGCAGGGCTCACCTATCAGAAGCTAGCAGCTACCAACTGGCCCTGCACAGCAGTGCAGTGTGTTTCTAGCATAACATTTTTCATGAGTGGTCCTTCCTCTTTTCCTGAGGGAGGAATTCACGCAATCACACTGGGGTGCTACCACAGCACACCTGCTGGTACAAGGCCAAGATCTCTGTACAAGGTATGGGTGCTCTTCTGGGCACCATTCCAGTCTCTTTGCCACTTACAGGGAATCTACTGCTACTCTAATTCCTTGTTAGTTAATGATAAGCTCATCTTTCCTTATGCATTTTACTGTACTCTCTTCTCTGACTGTACTACCATCTAGTAACCTGTAAGGGCAAAGCAGACTCAAATTTTATCACAATATCTCCTTTGCCTCCCAGAGCCAACTGTTTATAATTATCAATTTCTCCTAGGCCTAATCCTACTCTCCACTGAATCAATCTAATCATTCCATTGTCTTTCTCATTGTATGGGGGTGGGGTGGGTGGTGGGAGGTGGGGAAAGCAGAGGGGCACTATTTGAGGAAAGGACCAGTGGGAAGGGGGAAAAAGAACAGAAGCAACAGGAAATCATAGATATTTGTGAAAATACTACAATACACATTTACAAGAAGCCCTCTTTAACCCCTTATTTCAGAGAGAAGTAAAAATACCCAGACTCTTAATTAGCACCAACTACCCCAAACCAGCCTTCCTTCAACTACCACCTTTACATTTTTTTTTCCCTCTCAGTCATGGACAGCTTGGTATTTCTAACTATGGCTTGGGATGAATCTTTCATTTACTTTATTTGTTTGTTACTTCATTTATTTTCTCAGTGTAACAAGCCCTGGCTGTCCCAGAACTCACTCTGTAGACCAGGCTAGCCTTGACCTCTCAGAGATCCACCTGACTCTGCCTCCTGAGTGCAAGTGCTGGGATTAAAGGTGTGCACCACTACTGTCGGAGGACTAAATCTTCCACCTGAACAACCCTCTCTTGATCGGACATTGAGACAACATAGACTGACAGACACTAGCACTACCTGAGAAGTGCAATGATGTGCCCCTTAAAGGAACATCAAAACTCACTTTACTCAAGTGTGCTCACACTGTGCAGCAACAAGGAGTCTGCAGTTAGGAGCCAGGGCTGCAGACTTGAACTGGGGGAGGGCTCTTCGAACAAGATCTTAACTACTCAGGTAGGCTTGTTTACCAGTGATAAACACCAACTCAAAATGATTTATTTTCTCTTACCTCCAGAAAGATCCATCTTATTGCTCTGTACATTTTCTTCTGGTGAGTCTCTCTGAAGTAGGAAAAAGCAATGTGTTAGCAGACTTTACCAAGGAAAATAAAAAGTGAAAAAATTTCCTATATTTCATCATCTGAAATGCAAGGAGATCACATATTTTTTTTCTCTTTTAAATTTGACTGTATTATGTGTGTTTGGCACATGTGTGCAAGTGCCTGCAGAGGCCAGAATAGAGTTTCAGATGCCCTGGATCTAGAGTAAAAGTAGTTGTAAATCACCCCCCAAGAAGTGATGGGAACAAAACCCTGGCGCTCTGAAGAGGAGCAAATGCTCTTAACCATGAAACTGTCTCTCCAGTCCCATGTTTTTTTTGTTTTTTTTTTTTTTTATGTTTTAGTATATTTTTAATGTGCAGGAAATTATAAAATTTCAGAATTAAAGTTTGGCTAACTTTACTCATATTTTAAAGACTACTTACTGATGAGGAATAATTTTTAAGAAAGAGATAATAAATCTGGGATAAATTATGAACCACCACTACAGAGGGTGGAGGCTGCTAAGAAAACATACTCACCGAAAAACTGATATTTGAAAACTATTTAACAAATGGATTTATCCATGCGTCTTCTTGTTTGTTTCCACCTTTCATCATTGCCTTTGTAAAATAAAAGAGTAGAAAAGATGCCATGGCCATCTCTAATTATCTGAACATAGTGATGGACTAATTAACCTCAAGACAATTCCCAACTCTCATTTTTAGCCAATATTTTCTTCAATCAACTCTTACCAGAGTTGTTAGCAATTAAATAAATAAACTCATTTGATTTTCAACTTCCTTTGCTCCAGTCCTCTGGTATAGCTGTAATGTATAGAGAAATCTCTAAAGGCAAGCAGTCAGAAGGAAAAGACACTAGCAAAGGGCCTTACTGACCCGTGAAGAGAAAAACGGGCCTCTGTTAATGGAGGACTAAAGGGATGCTCCCACTTCACAAATGGACCATATATCATTTGGATTTTTGGAATTCTTATACCAAAGTAAAAAATAGTAAGTAGGTTCTCAAGTTAGTCTGAACAAAACAATTTAATCCACAATTTAATCATGATATGAGCATTCTACCGAAAAAAATAAAAGACCCCCAAACAACCATTATACATGATAATGTCTTTAAAATTTTCAATTTGTGTTGCTAAGAACACAGTATTGTGAGCAGCAGCTAAGCTGCTTTGGTGGGCTGGACAGTACAGATATTACATTGAGAACCAAGGAGCTATGACTGGCAGCAGTCACAGAGGGAAGCTGGAAGCCACAGAGACCTAGGCCTCACACTGATGTGATGACCAAAGGGCCTTCTCTGTGTATTAAGGTCCCTTTCCCATTGCTACTACCTGTTCCTTCTGACTGTGAAACAGCACAGCTTCTTAACTCCCCACAAAGGCAGATCTCTAAAGCAAGCACCTAACTCTCTCCAAAGATTCTGAAGATATCTCTGGTCCCTGTTCCCACTCCACTGCCTCCCATGGTCTGAACAATTGTCAGCCTCTGCCCCTTCCATTCTTAAATAAATGCATTTCTAACTGTTTCTCCTTTCTGGCTAGGATGTTGTAGTAGCCTCCTGAGATCCCTACAACTGGCACTCCAAATGGTATTACACACAAACATTACACAGCTCTTTTTAAAATAAGTTTTAAAAAAGCCACTGAAGTTGTTTTCTACAAAATTTCACTGGCTCCATACTTAGTAAAGAATGAAGTTCAAGTTTTTTGGAATTATAATACTTTAACTCTCTATCTTTCCTCTAACTACAGAGCCAGCTTTGTCACTTCTTTTTAGAAATCTACCTTTCAGTTCTATCAGGCCACCCCAGGAATCTTCCACATCCCAGCACACACTTGTGTGGAGCTCGATAGCCCATGAAGCTTGCCTGATGCCCCACCAGAGACTAGGGGCCCCTGAAGGGGATGCTCTTCAGTGTATTGGAACCCCAGCACCAAGCACAGTACCTGGCACACAGCAGAAGCTAAATAAGAGTTTGCAGTTGCTTTCTAAAGATTTTTACTAGTAGAGACAAAGGAGAAAGAGTAAAAAGGCTACACACCCTTTCCCTTCTCCTTTTTTTGCCACTCAGACCCTGTAAGGAAAGACAAAGTCACAAAACAGCATGGTCCAGTGGGAAGAACAAGGTTTTGAATCTCAAGACCTAAACTTAAGTCCTTGCTTTGTCACTTACTAGTTATGCAACTTTGGGCAAGTCACCACTTTTTCCAGTCTCAACTTCCTCCTCAGTATCCTATCTCAGAAGATTATGAGGATCAAATGACTCATGTAAAACATGTAAAAGCACATCATAAGCTACATGGCCAGGCATCAATAGGCAAATCCAGCCAAATGAGAAAAATTATAAAATGAAAATGGCAGGTCCCAGACTTTTGAATCCCAGGATTAAAAGGGAATAGCCTTGGCCTTGAGCTAGGCCAGTTACCCAGTATATGACTTATCAAGGTCCCCAAAAGATATTTTAGAGTCACTTCTGAGAATGGGCACTATTCTGAAAGATGTCCCAGGAGACTCTGCCTCCACCCAACCTCAATACTACTTCCCAGGACCCAATGGTTCTTAAACCTGGCTCTACATTAAACATATTTGGTGAGGTGGTACAATTTCCAAAACTTCAGAAGACCTTGGGATATAGTCTTGAACAAATACAATCATTTCTCATGTAAAGCCAGGTATAGGAACACAATCTGCAACTCGGCCCCTTCCTAGGGATTTTCATCACAGGACCTTGGGGGTGAGGAAGGGACAATGATTATCAATGAATAAAGAGAATGGTGAATCTGGGTAAGGGGAAAACTGGGACTCTGAGTGAGGAGGTAAAATGGAAGATGGACATGAACTGGCAATGAAATGGAGAGTCAACATGGAGATTTGCCCTTCTCTTCATCCTCACCACTGCTGGTATCACCTGGGGCTGGGGTTGCCCCAAGCAGTACTGGTGGAGCTGAGGAGGAGAGAAATCCCGAGCTGTAGCAGTGGGGAGAAAGGAAGTTCCCGTGGTCTTATGTTTTTCTAGGTAGCTGCCCATTCAAGAGGCTATACCTAAGTTGGGGGCTGCCTGGACTGTACTGACTGCCATAAATGGGCAGAATAGATTAATTTTCTGTGGGTAAACTACCTTTGAGATTAAAGTTTCAAGAGCAATGCTCTTGAAATGTTTACCTTTGATGACATTTTCTTGGTATATGGTGGCCAATTTAAAGATGAGTTAAGCTCTTGAGATGAGTTACTGTTCCACATTCCAATCTCCACATCCTCCTCCTCTTCCCAGCCAGTGGGGCGACTTCCAGGCAATGGCATATCATCACCACACCAGCCATCTTGCATAGATTTGGGCCCTGATTTGTAGATTTGTGATAAAAAGACAGACTTTAACAGAACAATTCTTCCAAGAGGTCAAGCATATAGCAAAGTACAGGGACATTGGAGCTAAACAAAACACACCTTTACTTCTCAAATACATGTAATAGAATAGGTATGCTCTATGCTGCATTGAAAGTTCACTGGAAAGAATTAAAACATCAAATGAAACTTTCCATGTTTTCACAAATCAGAGGGTTTCTTTTCTTTTCGTTCTTTGAGATAGGGTTTTTCTGGGTAGCTTTGGAGCCTGTCCTGGAACTTGCTCTGTAGACCAGATTGGCCATGAACTCACTGAGACCTGTCTACCTCTGCCTTGTGTGCTGGGACTAAAGGTGTGTGCCCTCCACCCCCACCTGGTCAATCAGAGGTTTACTAAACACAGGCAATGGTAGCTTCTTGTATGTACCCATTTGAATTTTAAAATAACACAAAAGACAGAGAGGACAAATGAGGCTCAAATGAATCAGTTTTATATATTTCTACAAAATTGGTCAAAGAATACTGAAGTCACAGGTAGCAAGCAATTAATCACTACAGACACACATACAGCCTTTGGGGTTGCTACAAGCTGTTCTGTGGTAAACAAACAACATTCATCTGCATCTCAGGGTCCTTCCCATTTAAGATTTGATGGTTTGAACATCTGCCCCATGTTATACTATTTAGTCTCTCACATTGAATAGCATGAGAGCTGTTCACAGTTTTAAATAATCCAATGAGGTGAGAGAGAAACTAGATTTAGTGGAGGATGTTAGTCATTAGTAGTTTTAAGGAAAATGTATTGAACCTCATATAGAATACTCGAGATCATATAGCTACATCAGTGACAATTTAGGAGCACTAGCTTATTCTTTAAATGTAGTGAAATGAGTTCATCATCAGCACCACTACAAAATGGCTACTAAAGATCAAGGATGACTTACCAGATTTGCTTAATGACTGTGGACCAACAGAGCTGGAGCCCCAGGTGGATGTGTTGGATGCCGCACTAATGGGTTCTCCCCAGCTGGGACCACTGTCTGTGGGTTTACCCCAGGCTGAAGTACCATTATCCACAGTCGTGGCAGGAGTAGAAGGCTCTCCCCAGGGCTCACCCCAGCCTTTAGGAAGTGTGGGAAAAGAAGTCATCAGCATGCATATAAGGAAACACAGCAAATAAGGAAGTATTTAGTAAACCAAATGAAGAACTTCACATTCATATACTGAATAATGACGCTGTGACAAGCATGAGGCATAAATTATTCTGCACTAATATAATTTAACTGTATAATGTTTAACCTTTTCTTTCAAAACTGCCTTCTGATGCTAGGGCAGATTCTTTTGAATAATTCAATTACTACGGCAAATTATCTTCCTTTGAGGATGAAGTTAGTATCTAAAAATACAAGTTCTTCTGAACCTGAGCAGGCGTGGGGTGAAGGGTTCTACTAGGCACACCTTACTGAAAGGACACCCTTCCCACAGCACTGTAATGGAGAACAACTGACTATACAACTACCAACAGGCAAGCAACCTACTCTATACACACTGGATAATGTTCATTTAAATGTACCCAGGAAAAAAGGTGTACACAATTACATTGAGGATGTCTAAACGTTCCCCCCACCATGCAAAAAGCCACAAAAAAATTTGTTTAAAGAATGAAAACAAAGATGCCTGCCCTAAAAGTTAAACATAAATCAACAGCCTAGACTCATATTTAAAAAACAAACCACAATTAAGTACCAAAAGAATTCATCAAAACATTGCCACTTCTCTGTCCAATGAAACATTACTCAACAAAACTCCCATTAACAAAGGAAATATTAGCCTGTAACATTTACAGAAAATGTTGTCGTATCAATTTACACAGAAAAGAATTTGCTCAGTATAGGAGAGGACTATACTGGAAAGATACAGTGCACTGTTTTAGGCACACACACTATATCCACTGTTATCTGAGTAGATGTGGACTTCTAATCTAGAATTTAGATGTCTAATTTAGAAAAATCCTCTAAAGTCAAAGACCAAATATCTACCAGTACTGTATTCAGGCACTTGGCTTCACTGTATTTCAGTAATAAAACCAAACAGTTAAGTCTTGACTCAGAATAACTGAAAGACGTATGTAATATTGCCACCTAACCCCGTCTACATTCCTAACAGAGTACTAAGATTCACAGCAACACTGCCTGGTGAAATCAACCGACTCTCGGAGCACAGCTGAAAGGCCTCCATGTGCATATCCAAGTGCTCTGCTAAACAAATCCTATGACAGCATGTCAACACAAAGCTTGCTTCCAGAGTACTACTGGACTCCAAAGATGAACACTTACCAGAGCCACTGCTTGCCTCCTTGCTTGAGACAGTGTTTGCAGATGGCAGCAACCGATGCATCTGTGCTTGCTGGTCTGAGCGGCTGCTGCCATCTGGGATGTTTTTATTCCACATGTTCACATTTTTGTAGTTGTATTTGCTCGGATCTCCCCAAGCTGAAGTTCCATCGTCAATCTCCATTTTTCGTCGTATAGATTCTGGGGATGGCTCCTCCCAGCCTGTGGGTTCTTCCTCCTTTGTTGGAGCTGGAATAGGTCCTCCTAGCCAGCCTGTACCAGGAGGCTTGCCAGTGGCTGGTGGGATTCCCCACGATCCAACAATGTCTTGTTGCTTGTTCCAATCTGGAGAACTAACTGGTTTTGATGAATCTCCCCAACCGAGAGACTGATTACACTTTGGAGGGTCTCCCCATCCCTGGGAAGAATTAGGTTTAGAAGAGTCATCCCATCCTGATGAATTATTTGGATTTATATTATTTCCCCAAGTAAAAGAACTAGTTTTACCAAGTTCATTCCAACCAGAAATGGACCTGTCACTGTCACTACCTCCTGAGCTGGATTTCTTATTAGTCTCACCCCAATGGTTACTCCTGGAAGTTTCTCCCCAGTTATCACTGGCAGAAATGGACCAACCTTGGTTTGACTTTTGTCCATCACCCCACCCTTGTTTGTTCTTTTGCGAATCATTCCATGCAGACTTCTCTTCTTTGCAATTCCCCCACTGATTGCTCTTGATCATTCCTGTAGCAGCAGAATCATCTTCCCACCCCCCCTGGCAGTTTGAGCCTTTGGAATCTCCCCACCTCAGAGTAGGTTTGGGATCACCCCACCCTGATACAGATGAGGTATCATTACTATTAGGGCTAGTCTTATCTATACATGCCCCTGAGTTAAAAGTCTGTGTTGCAGAGCTTCCCCAGGCCTCTGTCCCATTGTCAGTCTTTCTTTCCCCTCTTGGTGATGTCTCTGTATCCCAGGCAGTATTCTGCTTAATAGGAGTCTGTCCCCAACCAGAGTTGGATAGGACACGTGGATCTAAGTCAGTTCTGTTTACAATGCTTTGGAGTAATGTGTGCTGATCAATTTTTCTTCTATCTCTACTCTGACTTTCCCCAGTTACTTTTTCATCAAGGCGTCCAGTGCTCTCGGTACTACCATCACTCTCCACTGTGCCTCCTGTTTTGGCCCACACACTGTTTTGCTCATTTGTCTGAGACGTGGCAGAACCCTGATCCTCTTCCTCAGTAGATTTCCATCCATTTGTAAACTTCTTACCATTGCCATTTGCACTATCATTGGAATGCTGATTGCTAGGCAGTTTGTTCCATTCAACACTGGGTAGACTAGTGCCAGTGTTCTGTGCAGGACTTCCCCATCCTCTTCGACTTCCTCCAGAATTCGCACCATTTCCACTTCCCCATGGTGAACTCTGGGAATTTGTTGTCCCAGGCTCCCATACACCTCCCCCTTTATTTGTGTTAATTTGAAAGTTAGTGCCCATAGGCCCATTTATGCCAGGCTGCATTAGAGTTGCATTCACAGTGTCACCATTGGCTTGGCCATTAGGGCCTGCACATTTGTCGCCAGAGTAATTAGAACCATAGGCACCCCATGTAGTACCGTAGGAGCCTCCAGTTTTTGACTCTCCATTGCTAAGGTGAGAAAGGGAAGTGCCATTCATAACTGACGGAGCCTGTATCTGAGGATGATTCATTGTGCTCACACGCCAGGCCCCTGGATTACTAGTAGGCAGTTCATTATTCTGTACTGAACCGGAGTTTGGTAAACTAGAGGTCATAAAGTTAGTAGTGTTATTTGGTCCAGTTGTTTCAGTGGTGATATTCTGAGGTTGACCACTGAACGAAACCTTCTGTGTACCACTTACTTCAGGGTCACAAGTTTCCTGAAGGCTGCCCCAGGTACCATGGGTAGAAGAGCCACTGACTTTAGAGTTGATACTCTGATTGTTAGGCATCTGGCCTATGGTACTACACTGAATATTGATGCCAGAACTCCCACTCCCTACAGGCCCTTTTAGGGCAAGTCCATTGTTTTCTAATACTGGCCAGGCACCATGGTTGCTAGCTGAATTCAAAGTGCTTGGATTTAACCCTCCATTTGATGAAGAACTTACAGTGCCCCAAGCATTCATTCTATTGTTACTACTTTCTGATTTGCTTTCAGGAGCATCCACAGAGACCTGACATGTGCTTATTATGGCTCCATGGGGGAAGCCCCATGGCCCAGTACTACTTCCATGGCCTACATTATTGCTGCTGCTACCAACCACAAACTTGCTTTGAGAACTGAGTCCAGTGCTATTCCGAAGGCCATCTTTTTCACCACCTGTGTTCCCTGAAGCCATGACAGTGATGTTTCTCTCTGACTCAGAACTGGAGGCAGAATCAGCATCCATACATTCTGAAGCCAACTCAGGGTCACTGCCAGGGACTGAGGGCCATGCTTCTTTTTCCAACAAGTCCTTTACAGCATTCTTACAGCTTGTGCTACAGTCACTTGTAGAAGACACAGGTCCCCGCTGGCAATTTTCATAATGGGATCCTGAAGTATTATGATTTATATCTATAATAAAGGAGAAATACAACACTTTATAAATTGTTAACCATTTCCAAAAAATACTATGTAGGCTGAGAAAAGTGAGGATCCATTACAAATACATGTAGCTCCTCAACATTAGCAGGATGCTCCACAGTATGGCTGAGGTACTGGTTATCTTCCGGCCACCAACTCTCCATGTTCAGTAATTTCACAGGCAGAATTACGTTGCTTTGTTCAACACCCTACAGTACTGAGAGGAACTGAAAGCCCCATAGGCATAACTGATAAATGTATGAATTGGTAAAATCCCAACAAATCAAGAATTTTGAAGTAAGGAAGACTGGGCAGTAGTGATGAATTACAGCAATCCAGGCTCAGAGACTTGACTTGGGAGAAAATGAACTAGGGAGTAAAGAGCCCAAAACGATCTAGTTTCCTAAAATAGCTTTCTACACAACTTTGGGTGTTATTAACAATTCTGTAAAACTCCCAAAGACTTTGCACTGTATTTCTATTTTATTAGTGTATACATTCAAATACAGTGTTACAAGCAAGAATAGTAATTTTTAGGAAAAATTACTAATCTACTTTCAAGGTCATGTTTATTAAGGGACAACAGGGAAAAATTATGATTAGTAACTCAGCAGCTGATACTGTAGGCCATAAGGGAACAATCATACAACCCAGTCTTAGACTTACTGCCATATAACTAACATCTTTTTTTTTTTTTTTTTTTTTCCTCTACAGACTGTTGCTGTGTGTTTTTGCTAGTTCTTGGTCTATCTTGTTTGGTTTAAGGGTCTGGTGGGTAGAAATGTATCTGCCACAATAGCTTCATAAGGTATCTGCATTTAGGATGTCTTGAGGAGTAACTTACAATACACTTCTCAGTGGTGCAAGTCTAGAAATAAATCAAAGTCACACTGGTAGTATGATTTGCTACTATGGAAAATGATTCTGCTTTTACTACTTTCAAAGCACAGATGCTAAGGAGCAAATGATGAAACAGTTACAAATGGTAAGAAAAGTAACTAGAGATTACCTGCAAGTGAGCATAATTCAAGTAAGTACCACAGAGTTCACAGACTACTGCTCCATTTTAGAATTATTTTATCAAAAAGCTTTCGGAAGCTGGGTGTGGTGACACCTTTAGTCCTTTTGTCTTCTAGTCTCCCTGAGAAGAAATAATTCTGCACTGCAACACACAGCAGCGGCACCACCAACCCATGGCCAGCATTTATTGCTACACAGCAGCAGCTCTGCAAAAATTTGCACAAAGTTCTTGAGACAATTATAGAGCACAGCTATTGCCCTCACTTTGCAGGAGAGAAATCAAGGGACAGAAGTTAGAAAACTTATAGAAACTGAATGAATGAAGAAATATGTGCTGGATAGTTCCATGTCAACTTGACACAAGCTAAGTCATGAGAGAAGGCAACTTCAAATAAGAAAATGCCTCTAAGCAGGGTGTGGTGGTACAAGCCTTTAATCCCAGACTCAGGCCAGCCTTGTCTACACATAGAAACCCTTTCTAGAACAGCACCAAACAACAACAAAAATGCCTCCATAAAGTTAGGCTGTAGGCAAGTCTGTAGGGCATTTTCTTACTTAATGACTGATAGGAGAGGGCCTACCCCACTGTGGATGGTGTCATCCCTGTGCTGGTGGTCCTAAGCTCTATAAGAAGGCAGGCTGAGCAAGCCATCGAGGGCAAGTCAGTAAGCAGCTCCCCTCCATGGCCATTGCATCAGCTCCTACTTCCAGGTTCCTGCCCTTGTTTGAGTTCCTGTCCTGACTTCCTTTGATGATAAATAGCGATACGGAAGTGTAAGCCAAATAAACCCTTTTCTCCCCAACTTGATTTTGTTTCATTACAGCAATGACAACCCTAACTAAGACACAAGGCAAGTTAGAGTCCTCCAAAAAAGCAAAGTAGCTAAGAATCTGTGACTGGCATACCAGCAACAACAGGACTCAAACTTGGATTCTTCAGAGTGGCTAGAGGACAACAACCTGAGGTTATGTCATTTTCATTTGAGGGTAGCAAGTGCTGGAAACTGAACCCTTTTCATATTGGGCAAGTGTTTTACCACTGAACTTTGCTTCTGTTCCTTTGTTGAGATTTCTGTGTAGCCCAGGCTGGCCTCAAATTTGTGAACAATCATTCAGCATTAGCCATAAGAATGTTGAGATTACAAGCATGTGCTACCAGAACCAGAAAGAGAGGGTATTTTTTAATAAATTTGGTTGTTTGATTAACCACAGCTACTTTACACAAAGTGTTCAATTACTGCTGTCAGTAGTAGTTGAGAATTGAATTAAAGGTTGGGCATAGTAGCCATGTCTTTAATCCCAGCACTTAGGAGGCAGAGGCAGGAGGCTCTGAGTCTGAGGCCAGCTTAGTCTACACAGTTCCAGAATAACCAACATTATGTAGAGGAACCCTGTCTCCAACCAACCAAACAAAAACCCACCAAATAAACCAAAAAACATTGTACCACTTTATCCAGCTTGTGAGACCAGACAGAACCTTCTCTTCCAATGCCCTAGATTCTTCATCTAGATAATAGGGAGTTAATCTTAGACAACTGCTATAAGGATTAAATAATTAACAACTAAAGGTACTTTGAACTGTATCTGATCCATGTAAGGCACTAAATACAGGGCATCACCATCATAAATGAATGCACACTCATAATTATTCTTCTATTCTATCCCCCAAACATATTTTCATTTATCATAACACCCTAATTAAGAACAAAATGACAACACATACTAAAGCTAGTGTAGTCTCTGCTTTATTGTAAATAAATGTTAACTGCTACACTCACACACCTACAATGCCTCCTTCTGGGAAATATGTGAGGTGAAGCATAAAACTTCTTTACTAATTTCCCACAACTCAGTATTTTTCCTATTTAAAAAAAATTTATTTGTATTTACATGTCTATGTATTTGTGATTGGTGTGTGTGTGTGTGTGTGTGTGTGTGTGTTTTCCTGGAGGCCAGAAGAGGGCACTGGATTCTCTGGAGTTGGAGTCACAGGCAGCTGTGCCTGACCTGATTTGGGTGTTGTGAAGACACTTGGTCTTCTCAAAGAGCAGCAAGACTTCTAACTGCTAGCTAAGACCCATGCCTCAGCCCTTACTCTTCCCTGTACACAATAAACCAAAACCATCATCCATTGCTAGTTGCAAACCTTCCCTCCAAATCTAGAGCATGAATCAATTTTCATCACTATCCCGCACCTTGAATCACTGCATTATGTCTCTGCTACCATTACCTGCATGCATGCATTGTCACGTTCATAAGCAGGAATAAGAAAAAAACACTGGGCATCTACAACAAAACTACCCACATCGAAAATAAGAGAATAGACTTGGAATTTAACAATGAAGATAGCCAAAGCATTCCCACTGCAAACTGAACAAAAGAACACAAGTTAACAACACTACTATTCAATCCTGTGCTGGAAGGACTACTTGAGAAATTACAACCCAAAGATAAATAAACAAGGACACAAAAAGATCAACATCAACATCAAAAACAAAAACAAAACCACCAACCAATCAAGACATAGTTAGTTGGTGGAGTACTTGTCTAGCATACACAAAGCCCTGGGTTCAGTCCCTAGCACTGCAGAAACTGGGCTTGGTAATACAAGTCTCTGATCCCAGCAGTGGAGAGATGTGGTGGTAGAGGTAGGAGGATCAGAAGTTCAAGGCATCCTCAGCTGCTAGATGCCAGACTGAGCTATACAACAGATCCTGTCAAAAAGAAAACTTACCAAGAAAAATTATTTTTCTATATAACAGGAATCTCAATCCCCCCCCCATCTCTATCTCAATGGGGGTAAAAGATCTCGATGTTCAAAAGTCATAAAATCACTTACAAAATAACTAACAAAAATACTTAGATGTCCTATATAATTATAATTAGCCTTTCTTGCAGTCCATGCGGGGAGGCGGGGAGAGACTTGCTACAGAAACTCAATCCTGGATGAAATGAAGCAGCAAGACTCTAGGCCTAACCAGAGTATATAACAGGATTAAAAGTGACTTAGACATGCTTGTGTAAGAGGTGCAAGAACTGCCCCAGTCTCAAACAGAGGGTGCTTGCAGGATTCACAACTGACAACAGCAGTGCACCGAAGGACTGAATAAGCACTACAGCTAAAACTGAAGCCAACTTAGGTACTGACCAAGTATATGCCAAAGATAGAGCAAAGGTAAACATTTTAAATTTCCAGGAGAAAAGGAATATTCAGTACTTGGGGAAAAAGTTTTTTAAGAGACAATAAATCAAAATCACCAAATAATTAAAATTGTAAGAATAAGGAGGAGGGCTGAAGAGATGGCCCAGAGGTTAAGAGCACTGGCTGCTCTTCCAGAGGTCTTGAGTTCAATTCCCAGGAACCACATGATGGCTCAACCATCTGTTATGAGATCTGGTGCCCTCTTCTGGCCTGCAGGGATACATGCAGACAGGATACTGTATCCAAAATAAATAAATAAATATTAAAAAAGAAAAAGGAGGAAAACAAGATGCCAACAAAGAGAATTTATTATTCAAAAAAGAAAAAAGCCAGGTAGTAGTGGTACACGCCTGTAATCCCAGCACTTGGGAAGCAGAGGCAGGCAGGTCTTGTGAGTTCGAGGCCAGCCTGGTCTGCAGAGCGAGTTCCAGGATAGCCAGGGCTATTACGCAGAGAAAGCCTGTCTTGGAAAAGAGAGAGACAGCTATAGAGAGATAGAGATAGAGATAGAGATAGAGATAGATAGATAGATAGATAGATAGATAGATAGATAGATAGATAGAAAGAACCAGGATGGCCATTGGTGAATCTCTGTGAGTTTGAAGCTAACCTGATCTACAGAACAAGTTCCAGGACAACTGGATATACATAGAGAGACCCCTATCTCAAAAGAAAGGAACAAGGAAAAGCCAGAAGTACTAATACTGCAGCTGTGATCCCAGCACTCAGGAGGCTGGTACAGGAGCATGGAGTTCCAGGCCAGACTGGG